TTAGGACATATTTTGTGCGATTGTTTATTTAATTTTTCGTGTTTCTCTTATTTTTATTGATCTCTAGTTTCTATGGTTCTTTTGTTATTTTTTCTTTGTTTGGTGTTAGTTCTTTTGTGGTTTTTGTTTTCATTTTGTTTCCTTTCATTTATCATTGGTGCTCGTAACCCGTTGTTTATTTGAGTGTATGCGTACCAGGAGTGGACGTATATTATCTCCAATCGACAAACCTTTCAACGAGAGCCTGAGAGAGCTGCTGGACGAGCTTATTCTCGAATCACATGAGGGAGGCGAGCATTTTCTGAAATCATCCGAGGGAAGCAATTCTGACATGGCTGAACAACAACTTCCCCTTAATGTTCTCCGAAACCTGGCCCAACCCATGATTGGGCCAATAACATCTTGCATCCGGTTGGGGCAAGCTGCCCGAAATTTTGAGTTGAAAATGATCCACTACAACCAGTTGCCTTCATTCCACGGGCTCCCTAATGAAGATCCACTCCACTTCATCCGGGAATTCTATAATGTCCTTCAAACTTTCCCACTTCACGGGCTGAATGAGGATCAGTTGAACATGCAATGTTTCCCCGAGACACTCAAGGACCGGGCTAAGGCATGGTTTATGACACTTGCTCCAGACTCTCTTATCACGTGGGAGCAAGTGTACTCGAATTTTGTTGGGATGTACTATTCCCACCTGAAGACCCAAGAGATCTTGTCCCAAATCGTCTCATTCGCTCAGCTACTGAATGAGCCTCTTCATGAGGCTTGGGAGGGGTTTAAAGATCTCCAGAGGCAGTGCCCACATCATAACCTCTCACCACGGCTTTTAGCGAATTGCTTTTACGACTCCCTCCACCAGAATTTTCAGTACATGGTGGATAATGCAGTCGGAGGGGACAAGTGGCCAAAACAGCTGAAGAGATATGGAGGTTTACAAGGCAATGAGTGCGAACTCGTCTCAAAAGAGCATTACAGGAAAGAGGGACACGGTGAATGAAGGTAAGATCGAGTAATGATGGCATGGCCCAACAGTTAGCCGAGCTCACGGAGCAGATGCGGCAACAAAATGGTAGAAGTTCCTTACTGATTCAGAGTATGGCCATGAATGTTTGCGGTGCATGCGGTGTTCAAGGACACAATTCCGAAGTGTGCCCATCAGCATTCGACCAGGATTCAGGAGAACAATACGCAGACACCAACGCCTTACAGGGACATCAGAACCGACAAGTAAACAACCCGTTCTCCAACACGTACAACCTGGGGTGGAGAAACCACCCACACTTGTCGTGGTCCAACAACAATGATGTCCTACAGCCTCGAACAAACTTCATGCAACAGCAGCCCCATCCGAGTTTTGTTTCCCGTCCGAACTACTAGCAACAGCAACAACAAAAATAGAGAGGCCAAATGGATGGAGTGCAGGCACAAGGTGTCGGTCCTCGTTCGTCATCAAGATGACAAGCTGGACAAGATTCTCCAGTTTATGGCTAATAGCGAGCA